AGTTTCGTAGGGAGGAGCAATTGAAGGAAAGTTCCAATCACATCTTTGTTGATATCTCGCAGTGGAGCCGTTCGAAGATGATTATCGTAGGAAGGTGCAATCGAAGGAAAGTTCCACATGTTCGCTGATATCTCGTTTCCTTCTTGCGTTGAGAGTTGCGGATGAAAGCCACAGTCTCACAAATAGAGTCGCCCAAATAAATGAATCATTATCCAACCCGTTTGAAATTTTGAGGAAGTCCATTTTGATGACATGGCTGATGAAGTGTCAAAAAAATCCCAGTCAGCATGCCAAATGTCGCGATTCTAAGAGTTCAACTCTCCTTTTTTATATATAAAGGATATAAAGGATAGTCGAGTCATATCATAATATATAAAATTTTAAAGGATTATATTGTTTATAACTAAAAAGAAATTTTTATACAATCCTTTTTTAATTATGAAATATTATAAAAGGTTAAGTGAAATTGTAACAAAAATGACTCTAGCTTGGTTGGTAAGGAACTCATCTAATTGACTAAGAGATATTGAGTTCAAATCTCATGGTGGTATGCTTTTGGAAAAAAACTGCAAAAAAAAAAAAAAAATTGGTCCGACCGGTTCGACCGACTAATTTGTCTAAAAGGGTGACACATCAGCTCTGCCACATGTCGCGCTTTAGCTCTGCCAAATGTCACGTTCTTGTAGCTCGGAGTCTCCTTTATATATATAAAGGATATATAAAATAAATTTAATGATCTGTTAAATAATCATGCCCATAAAAATCCCTTTCCTTTCATTTCTTTATTTTTCTTTTTTCAAAATTGGAAAATCTCTCCAATTAGTAATAATTCCATGTAAAAACAAATATTTGCATGTAATTTTGTTTGGTCCAAACATTCTATATGTTCTTAAAATAAATTTGTTTTTTATTATTGTTTTTAATATAAGTTTTTTTAATTTCAAAATGTATCATTTAATTTAAATATTTTCTAAGAATGAATTAAGATATAAATTTTTTTAAATGTGATTATGCTAAGGAATATGTGTCCATAGATTAAGTTTTTTCTAACTAATTCTTTAAATATTACTTGATGAAATGATCGTTGATATGTTAAAAAATTGCCCAATAAACGCGCCACATGTCACAATACTAAAAGCTCAATTCTCAAATCCTTTAATATAAAATTTGAGAGTTTGATTTATAAGAATGTGACATGTGTCAACTTAAATGCTTTAATTTGATTACACATGTCAGATGACACGCGTCCACTCCTTAGCGGTCCAGATTCTTCCCCTCTCTAGCGATCTTCGCGATCTATGAACCCCTAATCGCCTTAGAGCATGTGTAGTGGCGTTGAGGTTGGCTCCCTCGTACTGCCACATCACCTGCAAACCAAGGATGCCATGCATGGCAACAGAATTCCACCACGCATTGCGTGTAGTGAGCAAGGCAAACTTTTTTTTAATATTTATTCTATTTTTCTTTTTTGCACAAAAAAGATGCACATTTTTTAGAAACAGAGTACATGTATTTTTATGAAAAAAAGAAAATTAAAATAATTTTCAATAATTAAAATATGTCATAAAAATGTAAAAAGTGACAAAAAAGTGATTTGTTACTGCATAACATGTCAATCTACTTTCTTGTACTAGACTATTTTTGATTGATTGAATTATTCCCATAGAAATATTTGCACTAAATATCATTAAAATTTAAGCCATTTCCCTATATAATACTTATATTGTTTTATTTTCTAAATAGCACCTAATAATGTGTATAATGTCTAGTGATGACGAACATTTAATTGAATAATGACTATTGGATAATGACTAAAAGTGTAACATTGGAAAAAATACATTTGATGCTATTTAGAGAAAATCATTATGTTTTAGTGTTTTCCACATCTGGCATCACATTTTTGCCTCATTGTTCATGCTCTTAGAATAGGGATTTCTCAAGAGCCCGGTTCCATGGCCACGGAAGCCACTGTCCCATACGGAGCTCCGTTCATAAAATTGATGATTCTTACCCCCCTAACCCTTTCGGTAAACAACCCGCCAAGTCTCGACCCAAACTAATCACCCCACCTACGTCAATTGCATCCCGTATGTATTTTGACTTTAAATAACTTTATACTTACTAGGTGCAATTGAAATAAGTGAAGTGAATAGTTTGGGTCTGGACTTGGTGGCCACTGTATTCCATGGCCATGGAACCGGGCTCATTTCTCAATCAGCACCAAATTGAGCAATTGATGGGTCCTTAGAGATCCTGGAGACGGCAGGAACACAGTGGGAGGGTGCGCGACCGGATTATTGCCGGAGATGGCCGGAAAATTCAGCGACCCGAGAGTGAACGGCGGATCGGGTTGGAACTTCGATCTGGCGTTTCCGACCTCCAAATGCAGCGATTCCGGTGGCGCTGAACTCGCAAGGACGTCAGGAACCTTCGGAGATAGGTTTGGAGGCTTGCCGCTGCGTGTGGTGGCCGGGATGGAGTGCGCGACCTGTGCGACGGCGGCTGCTTCGTCCTGGCAGTTTCCTGCAGCAACGGGGCTGATGTTTGGGTGGGATGGGATCGTCTTGAGGCCAGGAGGGTGATGGTGGGTGTCCGGCAACTCATCACCGGCCATGGCGGCCGGAAATTGGAGATCGCAGTGGGAGGCAAAGTCGCGTAGAGAGAGAGAGCCCTTGCAAGGAAAGTCCCTATGATTCTTCGCTGATTCTTCGCGTGGATTTTGAAATCTACACCCTTGCGGTAGATCTTCACGGAACGAAAGAAAATCTGCAAGGAAAGTCCTAAATCCTAATGATTCTTCGCTGATTCTTTGCGGAATCTTTGTGTGGATTATGAAAAATGATAGGGGTACACCATTTGGTGTACCCCATTTATCCCCACCCCCTCCATTACGGGGGCAAGAATTTTAAAAAAAATTAAATAAATAAATAAATAGATAAAAATGGATGGTGGAGAAGGGAGTGGGGGACAAATGGGGTACACGTACCCCTAGCATTGCTCTTCTGAAATCTATGCCGTCAAACTGTGAAGTTGATGCCCGCCACACTGACAGACTAACACAGTTATTTGTTCAAAACCTGAAGAAGCAAAAACATCCATGTTACAGGTATAATATTTTCCTTTTCAGTGGGATTCTTTATATCTAAGTGTAGAAGAAAAACCAATGAAGCTTTGCCAAAAGTTATTTCCTGTACTCATCATGGCATCATGTGAGGTTAAAAGTAGATGACATACATGCCCGACCCATTTCGATCGGTGGGAGAAAGATCCTTTCTTTTCTGCAGCAGAAGATGTCCAGGAATCTGCACACAGGTAGAATTACAATCATTTCGTGTTTCATATGTTTTGTAATTTGTTCTTTTATTGGTTTCTTTTCTTTTCCCGGGCTCTGTTAATAATTGATCAATTTACATACTGATAGAAATATAAAGATGGGTGCTTTTGTTGATTTTCCGGAACTTATTCAAAATGGAGAAACATTTTATATCTATTGCGGAAGAAAACAACCTGCTAAGAAAGAGATTCAAAGGAAGAAAATTTGTTGTAGAAGAAAACAACCTGCTAAGAAAGAGTTTTTGTGATCCTTCCTATTTTCTATGATTCAGAGTCGTATCCTTCCAATTAAAGCAAAACAATTGTCTCCGTTTATTGGAATCTCTGATCAGCTTTCAATTGGTAATCTTTACTTAATTTAGTTTTCTCAAATTGTTAGGATTTATATTTGGCAAATCTTGGGCAGTCGGAAAAAGAGTCTAGCAAATCATGAACAGATTCGTTTCAAATTTATTTTTTTATATTCCTAAGTTCATGTTAACCTATGCCAAATATGCATTTTCCCAAATTTATATGAATTTTTTCCCCTAAATTAGCATGCAATTCCATAATTTGGAGGATTCATATGTTTCCAAGATTGATAACTGTTTCTTTATTTAAATCGTTAATTTATAAATATTCTTATTGGAACACATATTCTTCGTTTTATGCTATCATATAATACCCTTCACAAGTATGCATATACGTGTTCTAATAATTCAGTGAAATGAATAATTTTTACTTCTTATATTCTTTTACTGTTCTTTGTGAAAGTTGTGGGATCAGTTTATATGCCTTCTAGAGGAATTTTGAGGCTTACACTAAATGAGCCTTCAACTACTCTTAAACTTTGCAAACACTTCCTTTGCTCCCTATTAGAAGGAACCTTTTATATACTTTGTAGGCGGAGCTGTTGATGAAAATGATCTGATTTTAGCAAGTATTCAAATTATTTTTTTAATATGTTTGAAGAAGTTGATAGATTTGCCTTTTTAATATCGTTAACAGAAGCCCCTCATGCAGCGTAGCCAGCGAGTAATGTGATAAAGCTTTTACTAGATTGTAATGATGATTGGGCTATAACTTTGATATAGCAAATAAGCAGTGGATCTGTCCATTGCACATCATAGGGACTTCATGGGGGTACTGTTGTTTTATCTTATTTCTTAAAAACATTGATGACATTTTAAAGATTACAACCACAAAAGTTGAAGATGTTGAGGTGCTTTTTTATGATATAGATAGATATCGTTTTTACCCATTCGGGTGGGTGCTTTCATAGGGTTAGAAACTTATCCGTTAGAGTAAACTTTTTATTTATTATTGCAGGCTTTGTTCCATGCCATGCTTCAATATATGACAAACAACGACGGGTGGTATTACAATTCATATAGTCATTGCAAAAGGTCAAAGTTGTACTAAGGTCAATTCTACATTTTCCATTCAGGCCTCAAGGTTATGCCAGGTTTGATTCCATTTTCGTACTAGATGTAGGGCAGTTTTTTTTTTTGTTTTTTTGTTTTTTTTTTGTTTTTTTTTTTTTTTTTTTTTTTTTTTTTTTTTTTTTTTTTTTTTTTTTTTTTTTTTTTTTTTTGTTTTTTTTTAAATTTTTTTTCTTTTTTTTTTAATTTTTTTGAACTTTTTTTAATTTTTTTTAGGGCAGTTATGTTTTATGCTTTTTTATGGTTTTTATTTTATCATATCCTTAACATGTTGGTAATGAAATGTACATGTTCCGTCCAGGATTTGGTGTTAAATATGAAATTGGTTGTTCAATGTTCATTCATTTTAAAAGAGGGGCTAAGAAGATAATAGAGCAGTTTCTTGTTATCGTGTATGTTTCCTCTTAAGATTTTAAGGTACGTACTTTGTATTTGCGATGATTTAAATCCTTTTTCTATTTGAGCAACTCATCAGATAATGTGCTTTAGCTCTTTGAGTGTTTGCGTGTTTATATATATATATATATATATATATATATATATATATGTATGTATGTATGTATGTATATGTGTGTGTGTATATATATATATATATATATGGGATTGACTCCAGTCAGATGACATATTTCGGTCAGATGACACTTTCGGTCAGATGACAATGTTTGGCTCATTCTGAATCAACATAGCGCTCATTCTAAATTAACGTAGGATTCATTCTCACACAACTGTTCATCACAATGCAGTATTCATTCCGAAACAACATAGTGTTCATTCAAAGTCAGCGAGACGACATTATTGGGTTCATTTTGAAGCTACGTAGTGTTCATTCTAAGACATTGTAGGGTTGCTTTTCACACATTTGTTCATTATAAACGTAGTACTCATTCTGAAACAACCCAGTACTCATTCATAGTCTGCTCAGTGTAGTGTTCATTCTGAAATAAGGTGGTGCTCATTCTCAAACAAGGTGGTGCTCATTCGAAAGCATGTCATCTGACCGGAAGTGTCATCTGACCGAAAGATGTCATCTGATCGAAGTCAATCCCTATATATATATATATATATATATATATATAGACACACACACATATACATACATACATACATACATACATGTGTGTGTGTAAAGTAGAATTAGTAGAGTGTTTTGGCTGGTGTGTTTCCATGTGCCAAGAACTTCATGATTTCACATACTTACAAAATAAAATCTCGCCAAACAGAATTCACTATTATGAGATCTTACAAATTGCTCCCTGTTAGACTTCATTATCTGTGTTATGTGCTTTGGTATTTATTTAATGGAACACAACTCACAAGTTTGTATTGATATTTGATACTTTGATATTGTTGTTGACTTTTGTTGATGTTTTTTTTTTTGCAAAAATGTGTAATGGACGACAACTGATAAATGGATAACAGAATCTGAAAAGGTAGTAATGTGTAATTTGATGATAATTTACTATGCCTAAATTAGTTTTGGACTCTGCTATATGGTATTAGCAACAGTTTGTGTTTTGCTAAAATCAAGGACCCTTGCCACTAGACTCATCAAGTTGCTGTCTAAGGTGATTCCTAAGGAGTAAACTAGGTTCCAAAAACAAAGGTTTTATATTCTAAGGTGATTCCCTTTAGAATATAAAGGTTTTATTTTAGTTATTTTCCTATATTTTACTCATATACTAATTCTCCCGTTCCCTTTAGAATCATTGGAGCCCTAATATACTTTTTTTGTATTAATGTTTTTTACATTAATGCAAGGGAAGAATCATTGAATTTTATTTTCTATATTAATATTTTTAATTATAGAGTCATAGTATTGCCAATTCAAGATTTTATTTTTTAGTAATGCGGAAGAGAAGAACCAATTTTTGTAATGTACGCAGAAAGTGGCGCAATCATTTTTTTCCGCTAATCTTACATAATGTGGGGGAGATTAGTCATGATTTCTTAATTGTAAAATTATAAGATTAGTAATTCAAAGTTTTTAAAATTAATTTAGGGGAAAGAGTCATAAGACCACTACTATTTTTTTAATCTATAATTATATATTATTAAATTTATACGAGGAGAAGAATTATAAATTTGTAGAAATGCAGTAAACACAAAGCATTTCTATCTTCCGTTCAAATGATATCTTCATAAAAAATTCAATTTATTTTAATAATCCACATTACAGAATGGCAAAAAATATGCATTTAAAATTTTTTTGAGGTGTTCACTTTTGAATTTATATATAAGCATCTTTATTACCAAATATTAAATGCTAAGTTTTTTTATTTTACTATCATTTTAATGTAAACAGTGATAGTGATAAATAACAAATTACATGTATTTTCATAAACTTATTTAAAAATATTACATTGAAGATAATTCACAAAACCGACAAAAAATTTCTTCAACCCGTACGTGGCACGGGTCGAAATCCTAGTTATATATACTCTCCGTCCACAAATAAAGTTCTCACTTTCCTTTTTCGTCCGTCCAAAAATAATCTTCTCATTTCTATTTTTGGAAAGTCTTTTATACTAAAAAGTCTAAATTACCCTCCCACCCAATCCTTCTCCTTTCTTTTTCTTTTTCCTTCCCCATCCTTTTCGTTTCCCAGCCGTCACTTTTTCTTTCTTCTTTTTTTCTCTTCTTCTCCTCTTCTTCTTCTTCAATTCACATGGCCCCACGCCCATGCCAATCCATCTTCAACTCTACTTCTTTCTTGTCCATCTCCGTCAGATCTGAGAATTTCGATCCAGATTAGAGGTCAGCGTCAACAAATCGGAGGTGGCGGCGGAGTACAGGCGCCGATTGATGATGGCGGAGTGAGGCAGCGGTCGGACTTGATGTGGTAGACCATCACGGCGGCCGTCGGCGATAATGGCAGAGCAACAAGGAGGTTCGGCCTTGTTGGGGGGGGGGCATCCGATTGCACAAAGAAGAAAATGGGTGGACAAGAAAAGAAGAGAAGGGATAAGGGATGAAGGGGTATTTTAGGAAAAAATATAAGTATTTTTTTGTTAATTGAAATTAGGGGTGAGCGTGGTACGGTATGGTACGGTATTTAGTCCGTACAGATACCGTACCAAATATATCGGTTCGGTATGAGATTTCATAACGTACCGATCCCGATCCCGAAATATCGGTTCGGGATGGTTTCAGTTTCAGTAAATATTGGGACGAATATATATACGTACCTAGTTTATACTTTGGAATGTACAAAACTTTTTATTTTAAAAAAATTGAAAGTGCATTCAAATAAAAGAAAGATAAACAATTGGAAAATAAATTATTAAATGCAAAAATACTTATAAAACTTAGTTTAATTTATACTTAATATTTCACAAAAGAGAATAAAAGAGAATGAATGATAACAAAATATACCGACTCGAGTCGGGATTAGGCTGGTGTACTAAATCCTCTCTATAGATACGTGAAATCACCCTCGCCTGGCCTTGTGCCTGAAAGCCCTAACCTTCCAATCTGAAATTTAATAGAGATGGGAGGTACGCGATTGATGCTATGCTATGTCGTATGAATTATTTTCTTCCCCAACCTGTTTTGTTTTAGTTTATGACAATTGAATCGAGATGAATCGGTGTTTTTGTGTGCGTGCTAAATTTTCTTCAATTTGATCGGCGAATCTCTGATTCGTTTCGTTTAATAACTTTCAGCAGTTGAATGGATTACTTTTACTTTAGTAAGTTTCATGTATGGCGTTTCAATATGTACGTGCAAACAAGTATGGTGATCTCATGGCTTGCATAGTGAAACAAGTATCTTGTTTTTTTGTTGTATGTATACATACTTAATTGAATTCATTTGCTGTTCTATAGTTTGAGTCTTGTTGTACAGAGTTTCATAAATCATAACTGGTTTCGCTAAGTAGGAGCGGATGGATAATTAGCAGCTTCGTTCATGATTATAAGCAACTATATCAAGTGTTTTATTGTTTGTGATTTAATCAAGATATCTGTAATCTCATCATACATAGGTTAAAAATCACCAGGGAAAGGAAGCGCCCTTGTGTTGAGCATTCAATTGTTAGTTAGCTTATATATGGAAAAATTTCAATATTTTGTCACTCAAGCTTGTTTCTTTTTGCTCAGCCTCTAAAATTGTTCTTCTTTTTTAATTAATATATTTGGATACACTAGGGGAACTTGATTTACAATCTCTCTAATTTTTTGAAAATAAATTTCACCCTACATTTTTTATTCTTTGTGCATGTGTATTTTGTTTTTTTGATAATCAAATTTAATTTCCGTTTTAGTGTGTGTGTGTGTGTAATAAACAAGTGTGTTTCTTTTTTAAAAAAAAGAAGAAAATAATAAGAAGTTTCACTGTTGTTTCTAAGTCACTCAAATGTTTTTAACTGTTGAGCTTTTCCATTATTTATATAGATGGTCCAACAAAATAGGACGGAGAGCTTCATGTTTCGGGAATCTTATCAGCTTGCTAAATAAATACGTACACAGGTAAAAAACCTCAAGGGAAAGGGAAGTGTACTGTGGAGAATTCAAGCTCTGCATCAGCAACTACTGGTATGTACTCGTATCTTGGCTTGTATCGTGCAACAGTTATATGTAAGCTTAAGTGAAAGGGAAGCTCCCTTGTCTATGCATGTGTGTCTTTGTTTTGTTCTTAGTTCTTGACATTTGAATTCAATTGCTCTTCTAGTGTGTGTGACTGCTATAAAAGTTTTCATAACTTGACATTTGGTTGTATGTATACATGTATTTGTGTGTGTGTGTGTGTGTGTATCTCTTGGCAATATTTCCTCCTTGTGTTTGGTTATAAATTTCATTATATTCTTCCTTACATACTCCAGTGTTTATATATAAATAGATGTATGTATAGTAGCGTGTTTGTGTGTGTTTGATCTTCACAATTTAATCCAATTCCCATTTAACTTATATAAAAAGTGTAATCACCCAAACTTGTTCCTTTTTGCTCAATCTCTAAAATTGTTCTGCTGTTTCAATTAATACATCCATAGGTAGAAATGCTCAAGTCAAAAGGAAGCACCCTTGTGATGCTCTGGCTGGGAGTTCAAGCTCTGCATCAGCAACTGCTGCAACTGGTAACCAGTCATTTTGTTGGGTTGTAAAGCATATAAATATATTTGGACACAGTAGAGGAACTTGATTCATAATCTCTTTATATTTTTTAAAATTTCAGTCTACGTCTTTTGTGTGTGTGTGTGTGTGTTGATAATTGAATTTAGTGTGCGTATATCAAACACGCTTGTTGCTCGTTAAAAAGAAGAAAACAATGAAATGTTTTAATATTGTTTCTTAAAGTCACTTGAACTTTTTTTACTCTTAATTTCTTCCATTATTATAAAAATGGTTCAACTAAATAGGATGGATGGTCAGCAGCTTCGTTTATGATTAAACCCACCCTTAAGAGAAGTGTTTTGTTTGAGATTTAATCAAGTTTTTTTGCAATCTTATCTGCTTGTTAAATCAATGCCTACATAGGTAGAAAAGTTCAAGTGAAGGGGAAGCGTCCTGTTGAGAATCCAAGCTCTGCATCAACAATTGCTGCATCTGGTAACCAGTCATTTGGCTGTGTTGTAAAACATATAAATATATTTGGATAAATTAGACAAACTTGATTCAAAATCTCTTTATACATATATATAATGCCTATGAAGGTAGAAAAGCTCAAGTGAACGGGAAGCACCCTTCTGTTGAGAGTTCAAGCTCTGCATCAACAATTACTGGTATATACTCATATTGGTATCTTGGCTTGTATAGTGTAACAAGCATCTGTTAGCTCAAGTGAGAGGGAAGCTCCCTTGTGCGTGCATGTGGCTTTGTTATGTTCTTAGTTCTTGACATTTGCATTCAATTGATGTTCTAGTGTGTGTCACTGTTATACAAGTTTTCATTACTTGACATTTGGCTGTATGTATACACATTTTCATGTGTGTGTGTGTGTGTCTTGAAAACTGAGATCAGTAACTCTTTTTTCTGTGTGTCTTGTTATAACATATTTTTAATAACTGGTTCAGCTAAGTAGAGGATGCATGGTTAGCAGCCTCTTACACTTGTCTTTAAAAAATGAAAATACAGTTGTTTTTAATTTGCATTATTAAATGGGGCTCTGCTAGGTTGTGGTTTTTAATAAGCATTTACAGAAAATTGGAACTGAATCGGAAAAAAAGAAGACTATTTAATGTGTAACCCACACTTTCTCTGCAGATATGGTTGTGGAGGAAAAAGATTATGTAACAAGACCCTTGGAGTCTATAAGATCTATTTTATTGGAAGACACGGGTAACCACTTGTTTGTTGTGTTGTAGAACATATGAAGATATGTGAATTGTTTTGAACTTTTATTTCTTTTGTGAACTACTATGACTCTTATGGGTATAACTATATATACATGCCTTTTGTTTTTGTGTTTGCCAATGTATTTAGATGTAATAGACACCAAAGAAGCTCCGCAGAGCCCTTATTATGTGGATGAATCAGGGTATCCACCTGAAGCAGGTTACAATGAAACCCACTCCCAAATTATTAATTTGTGGAACATGTCTTCTTCTTCTTCTTCTGAAAATTCTTAATAAATCAAAATCATTTATAGAGCGGGAATATATCTGGGAGGAAGATCATTTCGTTGCCAAGGTATCCAGAAGGGCTCGTGAGTACGTGCGCCATATGTTTTCAGTTGAAACCTGAGAATCCAAATGGTATTTAAAATATGTTACCTTTGCTTGGTGTATTTTATATATATATATATATATATATATATATATATATATATATATATATATATATATATATATATATATATATATATAGAATTAGGATCAGGTGAGAATAGGATCTTAGGAGAGAAATGAGAACGCATCTTGGCCGCCCAATCTTCTGGATTTTACCTATTTAGTAGGGATATCGTCATGCCCATTTTGGGATTTTCATAACAAGTTTTCTCTCTCATATCTATTTAAATTCTTCCCTGATAATTAGCCCACGATTTTAGCCATTCACGTCTTCTGTTCCATTTTCTACAGATCAACTATGGCATCAATTTTTAGTCTATTCTTGTTCTACTTTATCTTCTCCGATGGTAGGGATTTATCACAATTTTGATTAATATCATTGAATATCATATGTGTCATGTATGATAATCAATTAATTCACTTGTATAATTTTAAGTGATGAATTATAGTTGATCGCAGCTTTGAATCGAGAATTCAATTCTATTATCGAGAATTCTTTTTTTGAGTTTGTTTTCGTTTTGTGTAACCATGTTGCATTTTTTCCTTCCCAAGATGCATTATTCTATTCCCACGATGCATTATGGTGTTTGAGGATGTACACATTTTTGTTAATTTTAACTACGCCCTCTGAAAACATTTCTCATTTCTTTTTCCATCCGTCCGAAAACTTTTCTCATTTTTATTACTAAAAAGTCTCTTTTTCCACCACTAATTCTTAACCTACCCATCACATCACATTTATTCATTATTAATCTACCTATAAAATTCTACTTTTACCGATCACATCCAAGGACATTTTTTAAAACTCAACACCAAAATACACTCCCCTTAAATTTCTTAAAAATCAAAATCTCCTATGTTTTCATGAACGGAGGGAGTACTTTACTATCTGAGAATGCACAATGAACAGTGGCGTTAAGGAAATGCATTTAGATGAGAAGACAATGCATTTTCAAAATCAAAGGATAATGTATTCCCTGTTACTGCGCATTCTTAGAATCAAAGTAAAATGCATCTATTTCGATGAAATCATTCTAGCCAAAGATGATGCGTTTGTATATTCTAAATAGAAAATTTTATGCAAACGATGATGCATTTAACATATTCTGTGATACATTCGAATATGGGTTGGATACACGCTAAATGATGCAAATTTTAATAGAATAAAATATGTATATAATAGGTCCAAGTGATGGGAGTCTCTTTGAAAAAACAAATCATTGCCTATTAGCTCAAATGGTAGAGCAGTATATACTACAGATGTGAGTTTGAATCCTGCATAGGCAAACTATTTCTCAAAACCTATATTACAATTATTTGGAATATAATGCATTCTATGACTTTGTCATCGAACACAAAGTCATGCAGGAGTCATTCTTGGCTAATCCATAAATTAATAGAATGAAATTTGAATAAAATCTGGAGAACAAATCACAATGCATATATTGGTCATCACAGTGCATGAACATCACATCAGAGTGCATCTTGTCAAGATAAATCTGAAAAAGGGGATATTTAAAATCATTTCCTAAATTAGATGCATTTGAGACGAAAGGAGTAGCATTAAGAGAGTGTGTAACATCCCAAAAAACAGTCTAAAAATTATATAAGAAAAAAGTGTATATAAATATACTTTTCTTACTTAGCTTTGAAATGTGAGAAGAAAAAATATAAAAATTTTATATTCAACATTGGTGTCATTGGGTAGATCTCGACGAGAGATTTCCAACAGCATATTATTTGTCAAGAATGGACTTGTATGCAAAATGTTATGTACAATAATTAAATAAATGAATTTTATATTTTAATATAATAAAATTCTCCTAAATACACCATACCGTATCACGTTTGATATGCATTAAGATACATAGTATTACATTAATGCCCTTCATAGTTAACTTTCTCCTAAATTGGTGCGTTATAATTAATTCTTTCCTTTTAAATGGAGTATTAGTGATTTCATCTGTGTTTAATGATCTCCGTTCGATGCATCTGATCGAATGACTCTCCTTTATTCTCATTTCTTTCACCAAGCACCATTCTCACAGGAACCCGCCCCTATATATATATATATATATATATATATATATATATATATATATATATATATATATAGAGTAAAATCAATAGGATAAGTAACCTAACTACTCCGTATATTGCCTGTTGGTTGGTTATTACAGGTTGCAAAGGTTGAAGTGATGGGGGGATCCAACTGTGTGCTGCTTGCTGCCCAAACTGCACTCGCTGCTTATTTGGGTTGTAATAATTAAGTAAAACTAACTTATTAGTAGTAAAGAAATTTTACTAAACTTTAAACTATTTGAATTGACCAAAGCCTACATGCTTGATACTTTTTGTTTACTCTTTTCTTTTCAAGTCTACTCTTTGACATCTGAACCACTACCTACCTATGGCGGTGAACCCGGTCAAGTTGGTACCAACGGCTCCGGTTGGGTGGAACTTCCAATCCTACGGATCGGAAGAGATATGAAGTGGGATAATGTTAAAGTCATACACCATGGAATACTCAAAAGGACTTGATTGATCTCCCTTGTAGGAGACATTATCCTTTCATTCTAAAATAGGTGTAGGAATACACCTAAGGAGACTTAATAGTCCTAAAAAACTCCGTAGTTTTTTGTTGTTTTTTATTGTGTTTAAAAAAAATTAGTTATTTATCACTGCAATGTGTATTAACTTTAATATTTTCTACCGCTATCATTTTTTATCATTTTAATAAATAATAATAATGTCATTTAATTTTGTTATTTTAAATATTTAAACGTTAAAGATAAAATTTATAAGTTTGATTTTTTTTCTATTTCTTATTGTGTTTGTAAAAGAAATCAGGAGATGTTGCCTCTGACCTCTCGTCACAAGTCCACACGTTCCGTGTGAGAAGTTCTGGACCATTTACTTTGACACCACTCATTTGAGATTTTGGGTTCGCCACTTGTTGGAGGCGAAGAACTTCTTCAACAAATATAATATTAGTTTGATGGTAGATCTGTGGAAATAAGGATCCGGGCCGGGCTTAATATAAATTATTAGCCCATTTACATGGGCGGGCCTAGCACGGCCTGGATTTGATGGGCTAAATTCTTAACTCATACCCACCCATCTTTGTGTGCCGGACCGCCCATCGGGCCGACCTGCCCGGATAAAACATCAAAAAAAAAATTGTACAAAAACTTTTAAAAAAAACATTTTTTTTAATGTTTAAAATAAAATAATCAGTCACACATTTATATAGAAAGCATAATAGAGATATTGTTGCATATTTAATAAACCCATCATATTGATTCATTAAAGGAGTATTGATTTTTGTTTAAAATAGGTGAGTGAATTAAACCATTATACATGAATTATAGAAAATTTTAAAATATATATTTGCTAGGTAATTAATAATAAAGTAAATATATTTGATGAATATGGGCGGGTCTGTTGGTCTGGATGGGCTAAAAGTAACTTCCAGATCCGCCTATATGTAATTCGGGCTTGGGCCGGCCTGCCCATTTGGGTATTAAAGGTTGTTCATATCCACCCTTTTTAAAGGGCGGGCCGATTAGACCGACCCTTATTTGCACAAGTCTATTTGATGGATTTATGGACTCTAAAATAAAGTATAATGGTGTCAAGAAAGTAATACGAGATGGACATCCTCTATCAATAATAATAAATACCATCATAATGGTTGAATATGTGTAATGTAGAAATATGAGGTGGACATAGTTGAGGCTTCTAGTCAATTGGTCATTTTATTGCAATTGATACATAGACTAAAAACATATTTCACATTATCTAGTCAAATTGTAGAATTCAAATTATTTTTGTGTTATAGAACTTAAAATGTAAAATTGAGAAACTTTGAATTAGAATACAATTTCAAAACTACTTAGACCTCGTTCCGTTTAACTAATTTTTTGCTTTTTTTTACTTATTAAAATCAGATCAGATTAGATCAAATTAGATCAGACCATATCAGGTCAGAGCAGGTTAGATCCGATCAAGAATTATTATTATTATTATTGTTGCTTTTGTTGTTATTGTTATTGTTATTATTATTAGGAATTATTATTATCATCATCATTATCGTTATTACACCAGACTTTTTAGATTCTATACTTTTTACTTGTTTCACTTGATACATTTCTTTCAAAAAATAAATTTAATTTTTCTTGAAAAAATATAAGAAGAAAGAAAATAAAACTTATATGCGATTATAATTTATGTAGAGAAAAATAAAATGATATGAAGCACAATTTTTTTCTTACAAATGAAAAGGAGTAAACTTTAGAAACAAGTTAAATAGAAAACTGAAAACGTATTTCACAATTATTAGACGTCGGAAAAATTATTTTTAAAATACATTCACTTTTTCAATCTTATTCCACTTTTAAAATACATTTTTATTGCTACTTGTAATTTGAGTTTCTAAAGTTATTACATTATATAGTAAGAATGAAAAAATATTATTAGATTATATAATTACATTATAATATGAATGATTATTCTAATATGTAAATTGACTAATTTTATTTCACTAAAAATGATCATAAAATAAAAAATAATGATTATATTATAATATGAATTATCATTACAATTTTTAAAAGTTATTACAAAGTGAGATCAAATTATTGATTTTTTTATGGTGGTTCTACATGCATTAATAAAAAAAGCATACATTAAAACAAATTCTTTTTGGTTAACAAAACTAGACTATTTCAAGGGTTCAATCTGTTTAAAATGATAAATAAATAAAAAAACAGACGCAATATTATTATTATACGTATTATTAGAAGTTTATTATTATTATTACTACTATTACTATTATTATTATTATTATTATTATTATTATTATTTACAATTACTACACTCTCTCTGTCCCAATTTTTTGTTACATTTCCATCACCGAGGCAAAATATCAAGTTTTTTAAATTCATTTTATTTATATATTCGTAAAGAAATAAAAAATAAAAATTACATATCAAAAAATTACATGAAAAGTTTTTCGAGATAAGATGTGTCAAGAATATTTTATTTTATCAAATAACCAATGAAAACGTAAAAATAAACAAAAGTTTTTGAAACAGTTGAAAAAGTAAAAAATAATTTGGGACGGATGGAGTATTAGTATTACTAGATGGGTATTAAAACGTGAAATCCCCACTGAAAACCCTAACATATCAAAGACGATTTATTAGAGATGGGAGGCGAAGGTATGTGATTGATGCTGTCAATGCGATTGAGGAATTTGATCGTATACATGCTATGTCGTATGAATTCTTTTCTTCCCCAACCTGTTTTGTTTTAGTTTATGACAATTGAATCGAGATGAATCGGTGTTTTTGTGTGCGTGCTAAATTTTCTTCAATTTTCTTCATTTGCTGTTCTATAGTTTGAGTCTTGTTGTACAGAGTTTCATTAATCATAACTGGTTCAGCTAAGTAGGAGCGGATGGATGGTTAGCAGCTTCGTTCATGATTATAAGTAACTATATCAAGTGTTTTATTGTTTGTGATTTAATCAAGATATCTGTAATCTCATCATACATAGGTTAAAAATCACCAGGGAAAGGAAGCGCCCTTGTGTTGAGTATTCAATTGTTAGTTAGCTTATATATGGAAAAATTTCAATATTTTGTCACTCAAGCTTGTTTCTTTTTGCTCAGCCTCTAAAATTGTTCTTCTTTTTTAATTAATATATTTGGATACACTAGGGGAACTTGATTTACAATCTCTCTAATTTTTGAAAATAAATTTCACCCTACATTTTTTATTCTTTGTGCATGTGTATTTTGTTTTTTTGATAATCAAATTTAATTTCCGTTTTAGTGTGTGTGTGTGTAATAAACAAGTGTGTTTCTTGTTAAAAAAAAGAAGAAAATAACAAGAAGTTTCACTATTGTTTCTAAGTCACTCAAATGTTTTTAACTGTTGAGCTTTTCCATTATTTATATAAATGGTCCAACAAAATAGGACGGACAATTAGCAGCTTCATGTATCAGGAATCTTATCAGCTTGCTAAATAAATACGTACACAGGTAAAAAACCTCAAGGGAAAGGGAAGTGTACTGTTGAGAATTCAAGCTCTGCATCAGCAACTACTGGTATATACTCGTATCTTGGCTTGTATCGTGCAACAGTTATCTGTAAGCTTAAGTGAAGCTTAAGTGAAAGGGAAGCTCCCTTGTCTCTGCATGTGTGTCTTTGTTTTGTTCTTAGTTCTTGACATTTGAATTCAATTGCTCTTCTAGTGTGTGTGACTGTTATAAAAGTTTTCATAACTTGACATTTGGTTGTATGTATACACGTATTTGTGTGTGTGTGTGTGTATCTCTTGACAATATTTCCTCATTGTGTTTGGTTATAAATTTCATTATATTCTTTCTTACATATGTGTTTATATATAAATAGATGTATGTATATTAGTGTGTTTGTGTGTGTTTGATCTTCACAATTGAATCCAATTCCCATTTAACTTATATAAAAAGTGTAATCACTCAAACTTGTTCCTTTTTGCTCAATCTCTAAAATTGTTCTACTGTTTCAATTAATACATCCATAGATAGAAACGCTCAAGTCAAAAAGGAAGCACCCGTGTGATGCTCTGGCTGGGAGTTCAAGCTCTGCATCAGCAACTGTTGCAACTGGTAACCAGTCATTTTGTTGGGTTGTAAAGCATATAAATATATTTGGACACACTAGAGGAACTTGATTCATAATCTCTTTATATTTTTTAAAATTTCAGTCTACGTATTTTGTGTGTGTGTGTGTGTGTGTTTTGATAATTGAATTTAGTGTGCGTATATCAAACACGTTTGTTGCTCGTTAAAAAGAAGAAAACAATGAAATGTTTTAATATTGTTTCTTAAAGTCACTTGAACTTTTTTACTCTTAATTTCTTCCATTATTATAAAAATGGTTCAACTAAATAAGATGGATGGTCAGCAGCTTCGTTTATGATTAAACCCACCCTTATATGAAGTGTTTTTGTTTGAGATTTGATCAAGTTTTTTTGCAATCTTATCTGCTTGTTAAATCAATGCCTACATAGGTAGAAAAGTTCAAGTGAAGGGGAAGCGTCCTGTTGAGAATCCAAGCTCTGCATCAACAATTGCTGCATCTGGTAACCAGTCATTTGGCTGTGTTGTAAAACATATAAATATATTTGGATAAATTAGACGAACTTGATTCAAAATCTCTTTATATAAATAATGCGTATGAAGGTAGAAAAGCTCAAGTGAAAGGGAAGCACCCTTCTGTTGAGAGTTCAAGCTCTGCATCAACAATTACTGGTATATACTCATATTCGTATCTTGGCTTGTATAGTGTAACAAGCATCTGTTAGCTCAAGTGAAAGGGAAGCTCCCTTGTGCATGCATGTGGCTTTGTTATGTTCTTAGTTCTTGACATTTGCATTCAATTGATGTTCTAGTGTGTGTCACTGTTATACAAGTTTTCATTACATGACATTTGGCTGTATGTATACACATTTTCATGTGTGTGTGTGTGTCTTGAAAACTGAGATTAATTACTCTTTTTTCTGTGTCTTCTTATAACATTTTTTAAATAACTGGTTAGCAGCCTCTTACACTTTGTCTTTAAAAAATGAAAATACAGTTGTTTTTAATTTGCATTATTAAGTGGGGCTCTGCTAGGTTGTGGTTTTTAATAAGCATTTATAGAAAATTGGAACTGAATCGAAAAAGAAGAAGACTATTTAATGTGTAACCCACACTTTCTTTGTAGATATGGTTGTGGAGGAAAAAGATTATGTAGCAAGACACTTGGAGTCTCTAAGATCTATTTTCTCAGAAGACATGGGTAACCACTTGTTTTGTTGTGTTGTAAAACATATGAAGATATGTGAATTGTTTTGAACTTTTATTTCTTTTGTGAACTACTATGACTCTTATGGTTATAACTATATATACATGCCTTTTGTTTTTGTGTTTGCCTATGTATTTAGATGTAATAGACACCAAAAAAGCTCCGCAGAGCCCTTATTATGTGGATGCATCAGGGTATCCACCACCTGAAGCAGGTAACAATGAAACCCACTCCCAAATTATTAATTTGTGGAACATGTCTTCTTCTTCTTCTTCTTCTGAAAATTATTAATAAATCAAAATCATTTATAGAGTGGGAATATATTTGGGAGGAAGATCGTTTCGTTGCCAAGGTATGCAGAAGGGCTCGTGAGTACGTGCGCCATATGTTTTCAGTTGAAACCATATGTTTAGATGGAACTGTAAAGACTTTGTGTTTTAATGTTTGGTAATGTTTCTTAATGTTTTCAGGAATTTCATAATGGCTGCACTTGAAGAACTACCTATTGAAATGTTATTTCTAATATTACTGCAACTAGACATGTTTGAACTCTTGCTGATGAAGCTAGTCAGCACTTACTTCAAGAAGGTAATGGAGCAAGGATTAAGCTTGGAATTCTTTAGAGAATACAACCTAAATGGAAGAGAACAGGTGTGGTTCTTCTCGTACATTCATCACAACATGGCTAGAATCTGCCATAGGGTGGCAGCAGTAAGGGAAGGGGAAGATGGAAGAAGAAAGAGGATTTGCTTGACACTAAAGGGGATGGGGGATGAGGACATGCAGTGAGTGGATGTATAGAAAGTCTCCTAGTGTTTAGGCACTATGGGGAGGAAAATGGATTCATAACTTATAATTTATGGAACAATGCTGTGTCAAAGATTCAGACCAGGTACACCATCGAAATGACAAGAAAGGAAGAGGTCCAAGTGAACACGAGAGAGTTGGAGGACCCTGAAAATGACATGACATTCATTCTATCCACAGTTCAACAAAGGCCAGTAACACATGGTCGCAGACCACGTTTAGTTTTATTCTGTCACAGCATCCACAACAGATACCCAAGATACCCAAAATACAGGTTGAGCGTTCAAGCCCACGAACTTGATGCGGAAGGGTGGGCTCACTCCTTGAAGAGGACTATGTTGCCACGTAATGATGGTAGGACAGTGGAAGTAAGCATAAAGGGCGTGTGGGCCAGCACATGATGATAAGGATGGAGCAAGTGTACATAGAGAGTTATTGGGATGCATCTCATTCCAATTTCCCTCAAAACTGGATGAACCGGAGGTATGTGCGAAAAACAGTTTACCACAACAAGGACTATATGTTGTGCATGTATGATTCTTTCACCATCATATAGCCCTTGTTGTGGTAAACTGCTTTTCGCACATACCTCCGGTTCATCCAGTTTTGAGGGAAATTGGGATGAAATGCATCTCAATAACCCTCTCTGTACATTTGTTCCATCCTTCTCATCATGTGCCGGCCCCACACCCTTCATGCTTACTTCCATTGTCCTACTATCATTACGTGGCAAGAGGGTCCTCCTCAAGGGATGAGCCAGCCCTTCCGCATCAAGTTCGTGGCCTGTATTTTGGGTATCTGTTGTGGATGCTGTGACAGAATAGAACTAAACTAAACGTGGCCTGCGACCATGTGTTACTGGCCTTTGGTGAACTGTGGATAGAATGAATGTCATGTCATCTTTAGGGTCCCCCAACACTCTCGTGTTCACTTGGACCTCTTCCTTTCTTGTCATCTCGATGCTGTACCTGGTCTGAATCTTAGACACAGCATTGTTCCATAGATTATAAGTTATGAATCCATTTTCCTCCCCATAGTGCCTAAACACTAGGAGACTCTTCCATACATCCACCAACTGTAGGTCCTCATCCCCCCATCCCCTTTAGTGTCAAGCAAATCCTCTTTCTTCTTCCATCTTCCCCTTCCCTTACTGCTGCCACCCTATGGCGGATTCTAGCCATGTTGTGATGAATGTACGTGAAGAACCACACCTGTCCCCTTCTATTTAGGTTGTATTCTCTAAAGATTTCCAAGCTCAATCCTTGCTCCATTACCTTCTTGAAGTAAGTGCTGACTAGCTTCATCAGCAAGAATTCAAACATGTCTAGTTGCAATAATATTAGAAACAGCACTTCAATAGGTAGTTCTTAAAGTGCAGCCATTATGAAGTTTCGGAAAACATTAAGAAATATTACTTAACATTAAAAAACAAAGTCTTTGCAGTCACATCTACTTCTAATAAAAAATGTGGGTCATGAAATCAGTTTTGGAAATTTTGGGACATACCTCATCATTTTTTCCAGCATCAAAGTGTTTGGGTACCAGAGAAGTGGTTTTTACAAGCATATCTATGTTTTGGGTAACATATCTATTTGTGTGCATGAGAACAAAGTACTGTGGTTTTTACAAGCATTTGTAAAAAAAACATCCATAAAAACAAATTGTTTCTGGTTAACAAAAGTAGACTGTTTCAGGGGTTCAATCTGTTTAAAATAATAATGATAAATAAATTTAAAAATAAAAAGAGAGACGCAATAAGCAGGTATGCTTTTTAATATACGGTTTTCAACATCAATTTCATTGAGCTCAAGATAAAGGTAAAGATTGAGCCCAAAATATGAAAGGGAAATTTCTATAATTTCAAGTGCAGTATTTAGCTTCTTCAAAAGGGAAACATCAGCTTTTAAATTAGCGAGCTAAGTTCTTTTCATGTAAACCAAGTGAACCAAACATACTATAAATGAAGTATAATACTTTTCGTGCTTATTATGGTAATCTTTCTATATACAATGGTAAGATGATTTTAGGAACAATATTCCCGCCCATTTCAGCAGCTACAGTAACCGCTAGATTTAGACCGCACATTCCTAGCTTCCTGCGTACACATGTAGAGAGAGAGAGTATGGAGAAAGCTTCCCGTCAGATCCACATGTTCTTTCTTCTCTTTCTTCGCAGCCGCTTCACCTTCTTCGATTAGACAAGGGGTAAGCCGTGCGCTGTCTCACTTCTCAAGTTGGAGGTCGATGATCGCTGTCCAATTACAATCAGCACAACGCCTTAGCGGGAGAGACAGCACACCGCCGCAAGTAAGTAGCCACGTTATTGAATGTTTTATTTTTCTTTCTAATTTTGAAGTTCCGACCCTAATGGTTTTACCATTATCCATCTGATTCCAATTAGCAATGTTTTTCCATCTTCCAGATATGCAAATCTGATACCCATTGCATTTCAATGCCCTCATCGGAAGATGGTGGGTGAAGTTTACTAAGGATGAGGGTTCCTGATGGCTTTCAAATTCATTTCTTTAGACACAGGTTTTCAGCTCCCTCTTCTTCTCTATTTTCACCCTTAAATTTTATATTTTTAATTTTGTTAAGTAGTTGAAATTGAATGAAGTTAATTGTGTTATGGATTTCTACATCAATGATCAATGTAATGTGTCTATTATAATTCCAAAACCTAATATACTGATAGAAAGTCCAACTGTTTTGGGTTTGTTAATTTTGGGAATACTGATGCTGTTGCTAAAGCTCTTGAAGCTATAAGTGGAAAGAAGTTTGATGATAAAGAGTGGTATGTTGGGAAAGCTCAGAAAAAATCTTAAAGAAAGCAAGAGCTGAAAAGTAAGTTTGAGTTAAATACAAAAGAAACTGTGGATTAACATGAAGGATTAAATTTATATGTCAAGAACGTTGATGATAGTATTGATGATGACAAGCTAAGGGAATTATTTGCAGGGTTTGGTATAATAAGATCAACACTAAGTTCTTCTAAAATACTTTTGTGCTACTCGAATCTTGGCATAACATTTCAGTATTTGTTCCTGGGTTTAGGTTATGCATAATTCAAGTGGAATTAGAAAAGGGTCCAGATTTGTATCATTCTCAAGTCTTAAATAAGCCTCTAGAGCTGTATGTTACTATTATTTTTATATTTATGGCAGTAATTGAGTTTGTTTGTTTAGCTTATCTTCATCGTAGAGAGCAGGATCTGATTCATTTATTTTGATTATTATAGCTTTCTGATTTGAATGGGAAAATGGTGGTGTCCAAACAATTCGATGTTGCTCTTGCTTAACGAAAAGAGGAGAGGCAAGCAAGATTGCAGGTAAGATTATTTTTTTTAAAAATTCATTTGTATACAATTTGTAATGCCTGTTCTTCACCATTAATTTTAAGAAAATGACTTTTTGGGCATCTGTACTTTTCATTATCAAAGTTGATGCATATGCTTGCTGGAATAGTTTTCTCAAATACAACCCATCACTATGGCACCTTCTCTTGGACATCGCGTTCCTGTGTACCCTGCTGGTCTGGCATTGCTCAGTACGTTTTTTACGGGCTGTTTTTTTATTTAGCTTACATTATATTGTCTTTAACTTACATAAAATAAAAACCTATATTTATAAAAGTGACAATTGTTCGGTTTGTTCCAAACTCACCTTGTGGTTTAGGAACAACATGAGGGCTCCAAATGTAGCTAGTAGGGAGGTGTGATATGGATCCGTGGTACGTACTGAACTACGCTCTTGGGGGAAGACTGAGCTTCTTTTTTCTAAAGTCATTAGTGTAACTTCTTATGCCCCACCATATCAGCAAGTCCACCACCAAATAAGAAAGCTGGATTGACTAGAGAAATGTTATTAGGTAAGAATTTACAATATTCAAAAACAGTTTTTTAGAAGAAAAAAAACAAGAAGCTTTACCCAGTATCCAGCAGTCTGAGGCACGCGTGCTAATGGATGAGGAAAGTCATATGTTGGCCTGCCTATTCAAGAAACATGTAAGGCCTCATCCTAAACAGATAAGTTTATGAACCTTGATGACTTTGTAAAATTCTTGCATTTTTAGTCGTCAACTCCCAAAGTCATTTCCCTTCAAGCTCAAATGTGTAGAATTCTATCACATTGTGAAGACTTTGTAAAATTTATAGTACTACTGCTCTTGGACTAAACATGGAACATTTTCTTTATCAGTCTACTGGAAAAGTGAAAGTTGATGGCCTAAAGTTAAAAGGTGAGTTGTGGAACCAAAAGAGGAATTTCCACTTCAAAAAAAATGGTTTCTTGAAAGTTAGATCTTTAATACATGCATCACAGATATAAAAGTAAAGAAACAAGAAGACTCACATCCAGGGCATTGTGAAGAATATTTTTGAATAGGCACTTCAAGAGCTTCAGCTACATGTGTCTATAATACTTGGAGGTTGTAGTGAGGATTAAGATTACTGTCCTCAATCATCTAGGTGTGAAATCTAAAAAACCTTATATGATTGCAAGCTTCTGATGACAATAAAGGTAAACTAAAAGAGCAGCAACCTATAATATTTACATTTCTCTCCTATAATGTATACTATATTCATTTATTTCATCTATATATTTAAGAATGAGTGGATAATGAGGGTCTAAAGAGTAGGGAGAAGTAGAGGAGGGTTGTGGTGAATCTAGGCAGTAGCTTCTTTCCATGATGCTTCTTCTCTGTTAAAGTTGGAACGGATAGAAACCATTTAGAATGATTTTATTTCTAAAGTCAACTTAAATTAAAAGTATTCTTAACATGGTGCTTGATTTTTGTAATATACAATGGGATAAAAAAATCTGAGAAGGTTTTTCTACCTTCTACACATAATCTAAAACTTTTAGATTTTGCAATGATCACCTCTCTATTGTTCAACCCTCTTGGTATGATTTATCCTAAGTTTAAGTATGAATGAATCTGTTACAATGTGATAATTATCAGATCACATTTTTTAGGGCAATGAAGGTGCCCTTCAAATACTTTTTAAGGATAATGAACTTAGAAAGAGTACTGATAAGTGTATTTTTTGCTTTATCAACATTTCTAAGATGCTTTCAATTTGGATGTTGATTATTTTTAGAGTGCTTTGGCTGAAGGCTATGTGTTGGACATTGACGTGGTAAGGAAGTGCCAAATTTTGGCAAATTGAAATCTGCGAGATGAAGAAGTGGAGTAAATGATAGACCTTATGGGGCATAAGGGCAACAAGGTAGACTCCAAAACTCTCATTTCTGCAGTCAACATGAGGATTAAAATGTTTTTTCTAGATAAGGTCCTCCAAGATTTTTTAAGTTTTTTATTTGGCGTAATATTTGGATATGCTATTTTAAAATTTGCTTGGGAGTTGTATTTTGAGTAGTTAGGGATGCTACTTCATTTTCTCTTTAAAGAAAACTTTTACTTATATACTATAAAAATGAAATCAGGGATGTCATTTGTATATGTAAATTTTTTTGAGAGAGAATAATCTAGGGATGTTCTTAGTTATGTGAAAACATGATCCCTTTCATTCTTTGTTATGTCATCTGTATATGTAAATTTTTTTGAGAGAGAACAATCTAAGTATGTCTCGAAAGATAACATCGTATGGTGAAATTTTAGGGTTGCATTAAAAAAAATCATGTGGGTAAAATGTTAAGATTTGGATGGGATGCAAAAATGTATGTATACTTTTGATTTATGAATTTAGTTCAAAGAAGACTGTTTATCTCATTCTCTATCTCCGAGAGATAACTAAAATTTTCAAGTGCCTTGCAATGTTTCTAATTTTTCATTGTATTTATAACTATGTTTTCTTTATGCACTACTCCAGAAATTGAATAAAAGTTTGAAATTTTTTTATGCATTGGTTCTACATTAATGATATTTTGTATCTAGACTATACCTTTGTGCATCTCTATATATAATGAATAATTTCATATAATATTTTCTTTATTTTTATTTTGCTTTAGCCTAAAATAGTTCGTAATCATTATTTTTATTTCAATAAATCTTCTATACGTAGTAATAACGTTTTTACATAATTTTTAAATTAAATTTCTGACCGTGCATCGCACGGGTACGAATCTAGTGCAAGGAGGATTATCACAAAGCTTAAATAACCTTGACAACGGAACAGAATCAGAACACGGCCAAGCAAGCATACAAACGGAATGAAACATCCAACATTTGCACAAATGAGAAATGGAGCTCAAAGAAAACAAAAATACAAACTTAAATGCACAAATGATAAATTTCTACATTTTGTGAACACATTTGACTCTTATCATTTCTCGTAGTGTAGAAGATTACCTAAACTTTCGCTTGAAGAGGGAGGAAGCTTTAGCCTTACAGTCGTCCGAACTTTTAGGTTTAAATGCAAATTTGAACTCAGTCGATGTTTTAATGTGTTTGATGAAAGGCTTTGCCCTTTAACGGACCTTCTATGGTTAAATGGGCTTTTTTCTTTGCTTTTATGGTTCTCTCGGAAAAAAATGAATTCTCCAATATAAAATCCCGCGCGTCTTAATTTCCAATTTGCTATATTAAAGGATTTGAATGTGTTTTTATAAGTAGCATCAAATCATTTCACATTAGCCTTGCCATTGGACATGGTATGATTCTGGACCGGTTATCGTACTCCCAAATTTGGGTCTAAAATTTGTCCCGAAAGCCAACAAAATTTGTTGCAATTAAATTGACGGGAGGTGTCGAGGCACGTTGCGCTTTCAAGGTCTCGTCGCTTCGGTGAATCAATGGGCGGGCTAGGGGGGTTTACCGAGGATAAGAACAATCAATTTTACGATCAGAGCACCGTGGATATCCCAATTAAATTGGTGTAACATTACCCCTCTTTACAAAAAATGTTCTAGTCATTTCTAGTTTTACATTCACTAGTATTTTTTTGTAAAGATTAATATATGTTTTTTATTTTACATGAATATTTAAATAAATAAACAAGCATGTCATAAAAATGTGAACTTTTTAGAGGTTAAGAAATACGGAGTATCTTTTTAAGGAAAGATAGTCACTTAATGTAATTATATCAACTTATTCTAATTTTTAATGAAATTTTTAGGCAAATAAATAATTAAAAAGAATTAGTATATTTTTTGAAAAAAAGTAAGATAATTATACAATACCATTAAACAAATTCTAATAATATATATTTATACACTAAAAACAAGTAGTAAGAAAAATATAATTATAATCTTGTTTTAGAGTTATTTTTTACCAAGTATATAATTTTGAAAAATTCTTGCATTAGCGGGTTAGTTAGATCGAGTTTGGGTTCAATCAAGTTTGACCCATTTTTAACGAATTATTTCGGGTTCAGTCAACTTTGAGTTTGATCAAGAAAACCTACGTTCAAAACCTATTGTTTCTGCCTCTAGTTTGGGGGGGGGGGAATAGGTGGGATCATTTTTTATCATGTCTAATACTAATGAGCCCCTCAAATCTCCCATTAGAACACCCAAAATATTATGTCTTCAAAACGAGTAACTATATCTTATAGTAGTTGTAGTGATTATTTCACATTCATTTACCCGGTTCGAAACCCATTGACATTTTCAAAATGCTTTTTATTTAATTTTAAATTAAAATCAGACTAGTCAAAAAAGGGCATGGGGTGGATGGAGGTTGGGGTGCATGGGGAAGGCGCGGAAAGATAATGAAAATTCTACTTTGATTTTTAACGTAAATTTCTTTCCTCTCATTGAATAAGAATATTTTTCTTGAGAAATATTTTTGTTTCACTAATGTCACCAAATACAAGAAAAAAAATCAAAATTTTCTTACAAAATATCCCCCACCAACCGAACACACCAATAATGATTTGAATTCACATTATTCAAATACAAATTCAAATTCAAATATTAGTTTTGATCTGAATATTAAACAAATGTAAATACAAATATGTGTATATTCAATTCAGATTATATTCAAATATATGTATATATATATACACATAGATCATGTTTTCAACATCAATAGTGAAACAAACTAATATAGTATAAAGTGTATTTAAATTACTAACTCAACAAATTAACGCAATATAGTATAAAGTGTATTTAAAATACAATTTGTGTAAGATGTAAATGTAATAATGCTTTTAGATAGAGCAAAAGAAGTACCGTAAGTTAAATTATTCAAAATCGATTTTGGTACCTCATACTTCGTATAAATTATGGAGTATGATTATTCAAATATTCGTTTAAAATTCATTAATTATTCAAATATTAATCAAATACAAATTCAAATAATTAATTCGTTTCATATTCAGACTTAGATTTGTATTCAAAAAAATTAAACAAATACAAATTCAATTATTCTAGTATTCGATTCGTTACACCCCTAATGCTGTACCGTCAGAACTTCATACGTTCATTTTGTGTACCCCCAATCACGATGCCACTCTTTTTATATTCTTTCGTCCAACTTACTTTTGTTTCTTGAACGATTTTATCATAAATCAAAACAGATAATTTAAATTAAGACAGAGAAAATAACTTTAAAGTACTAGTATATAAAAAATTTTGGGTTAAAATGATAGTGTTCTTATTAGTAAAATTTGCACTAAATAGGACTAAAACATAATGACTTTCCTAATATAGGACTTGAACTTTTTTATTCTTTAAATAGGACTTAATAATGACCTAGTGGAAGAAATAATGTCCAGTAATGATGGACATTTAGTTGAATAATGACTACTTCATAATGACCAAAGGTCCTACATTAGAAAATGAAAACATATGGTCCTATATTGGAAAAGTCATTATGTTTTAGTCCTATTTAAGTAAATTTCTCTTCTTATTAACCTATGAATTTTCTTGTCGTGTTCAAACCCAAACTCATATAAAACACTTCTAATTCAAAAAGAAACGGTAAATGTATTGATAAGTTCTACACTAATATTCGATAAATTTTGTAAAGAAAACAAAAGTAATCGTTGAAACATCGTAACCTAAAAAGGACAAAAATTGTAGAGTACCAAGCAACTTCATTGATCAATTCCACTTATTTAGCCTGAAGAGGTATAGCTAAAGGTATCATTCAATCTCTAACTAAAGAAAAGTAAAAAGTTATCCGAACCATGATATGTTTTTTTTTTGTTATTAAAACTTGAATCACTCTAATAAAAAAAACTTGAATCACACAAATCATATCTTTCTTTGACTCTGTTCTATCTCCATTATTATACACGAAGTGCGAAAAAATTATGCTCTATTCAGTCCAGAGTGAACTTATGTGAACCTAAATTCAGTAAAATAAATAAATAAAATAAAATACTCCATCAATAACAAAGAACAAAGAATAAGACAACTTGTCTTCAATCATATTCCAACTCATCTGGCGTAATCGATCGCTTAAGGGGAACGATCGACTTCTTCTCCACATCTCGTGATAAAGCTTTCCTCATATCTAACGTGTAGAAGAATAAAAAACAAAGAAGTCATACTCAGACACTCGTTACTATTCAATATTTATGAGAAAATGGGTGTATTTGTCCACTTTTCCAACCTCATTCTTGTTGTACACTTTCTATTAGTGGAAAACTTTTTTGGTCTTATTTTGACAAGTTTTCCTTCACATTATTCACTTCCACAAAAAAAAAGTAGGGGTAAATATTGTAAGATATCTTTCCTCATTAGTACAAGTATCAACCCAAAAAAAATTTGGAAAAACACATTGGGATGAAGGGATCCGGGATTAAAGAAGAATAGAAAGTGTACACCAACACTAGGATTTATTCCACTCACCTAACCCATCTTCTTCTCCGGAATAGTACCGTAGCACTCGCCTGTATATTGTGTAGCCAAGCTGGAGAGGAGAAAAATGTGTACTTAGACTAAAGATTTATTCTTTAATGAATATACACGAACAAAAAAAGGTTTTGTTTGACTAAGGCACAAATTTTTATTGTTGGCAAAGTAAACCTGTTTTAGGTCACAAACCGGGTTAATATATAAAAAGGTTTTTGAAGTTTTCGACTGATTTTATCATTATAATACTTGGTTGTATGTTTTGGAAAATTACTTAAAAACATACGGAGTATCTTCCATTGTTCAAAGTGAGATCAATGATGTTAGAATAAACCATACCTTCTCATACATCTTTATGGCTGGTACATTGGATGCTCTCACAAAGAGGTCAACAAAGTAAGCCTTGTAACTATAATATGGAAAAGTTTCTGTTAGTGCACATGGGAGTAATAACTTATCGATGAAATGATATTACGGAGTATAAATCCACCCCTAATGTATAGATCACATGAAAACGGATGGCTAGAGATGTAAAAAATGCATAACACTTTATGAAAATGAGGGTCCAAGTAAATTTATAGACCACGAGAATTCTATTAAGTGCCAAAAAGGAAGTACTAGTAATCCAGAAAGCAGTAGAAGTAATATAAGGTGTGATGATATACATCATATTTAAAATTATACGTGTGAAAATGGCACAAGCTTTAAGAGTAGGTTGGAAAGTGTTAGTTATTGAGAAAAATGACTATATAATAAGATGTTGGTAACTGCCAAAACATGAGTATGAAATGGAGGGGTTACTTGTCTTTATTCTTTAAGGCAATGAACATGGATAGATGTGAGGAAAAGAATTGCATACATCTTATCACTGACATCTTCAAGTAAATTCATCAGTTTCTTGGCCAACTGTTGTCTTCTATACTCAGGTGATACAGTAACAGCAGTAACATGGCCATGCCAAGATTCACCTTGCCCTTCAACTTTTCCCATAACTGCAAACATAAAGACGGCAGTTCCACACAAAACCAGATATAATAATTGATAGTAAATATAATCAGCAGCAAATATGAAGGAAATTTTTAACAAAGAACAAACACAACATAGCAAAACCAATATGGTCTCAACTCTGTTGAGGTGTGGGGGTCACGATGTAAGCAGTCATCCCTTTGTAAAAAACAGAAAGGTTGTTTCTATTATTCCCTTGATACATTGCTACAACACCAACAACAACAACAACAACAACAACAACAAAAACCCTAGTGTAATCCAACAAGTGGGCTCTTAGAAGGGTAGGATGTACAGACTACACCACTAACCGTGAAGGGTGGAGAGGAGGTTTCTCATAGGCCATTGGCTCAAAAGGAAAAATAATGCACTACAATATTAGTCTCATACACTGATACACTTTAACATTTAACAAGGCATATTTCCTCAAGTAGCCATGTTGGTAATCAGGACATTTTACAAGTTTCAAAATGAGGCTTATCCGCTTATCCCAACTCCTAAGCGTGCACTTCTTTTAATCATAAATCTTTTTTCAAGATAAAATAGAAAACAATCCTCTAGATTTTCCTGTAAAACCATAACGAGCCATCACCATATTCTTCTCTTTTCCTATCCACTCAGGGAGAAGGGCGAGCCATTGTGTGCTCGTCATCAATCCAAAAGCTTACTATGAAAGCTCTTGCATTTACTATTTAATTAGTGCTCAAAGTTTGTCAATTTTGACTGGAAAAAAGTCAAAACGAGACAAACACTCGGGGACGGAGTTAGTAGTTATTTGAAAACTATATTATCCAATGTTTAAGCCGAGTTTTTCCAACCGGGAATCATCCCAATTTCCCAACTCTAGCTTGAAAAACATATAATAAAAAACATGCGTTTATTTTCAACAAAGATTGAAACACATATGGTGGGAGCTAGGGACTCACTGTAACCCATGATTTGGTTCCCAGGAGCTTCAGCTACATGAAAATAATCGGGCCACCTGGCCAAGTAAGTCATGTAGAAGGACATATTGAACTGCATCCATCAAGAATCATCAAGCATTTCAAATTAAAATTCTTCCATGACTGAGGCTTCATATCATGATTTATAATATATTGCCAGATTCATTTAATTTCCGAGAGAGATATAGATGGGCAGAGAGTACTGACTGTTTCGGTGAGATGATCTAGATTGACAGGCGTGAATCGGAGAAGATCGTTGCAGCAAAATCTTCGAATCGTCGTCATCCTTCTCTCAGGAACTTCAAGATTCGCCCAAACCCTAGCTGCCAAAATGACCAGTAAATTGCCCAAACACTACTCTATAATTTTTTGATTTTTTAATGGGTGGCTTTCCGTTCCATGTTCGAGCTTCCATTGAATTAAAATGGGATGTCTTCTTAACCTATTTATTTCCTTATGGGCGTTTCCTTGGGTGCACTTTCTTTCAAAATAGAGTGTCTTGAAACACCCACCCTCTACTTGGCCCAATAATAAATAATAAATAGACATGTGGCTCTTTTTGTCACCTCATTTAAATGAAGTCAAAATTGATGTATTTTTGCTGGACTCCTTTGCAAATAAAAAAACTTTTTCCCAACCCTTTCTTCCGTCAATACGTCCACAGCGCCGTTTCTCCTATCACCATCTTCCACTCTCTCCCTCAATCGCATATCTCTATCTTCGGCTGCCCTGCTCTCTGGCGGAAATTTCAAGGTAATTCTCAAAGATTCTCTTCTTCTACAAGATGGGCTTCATCATATAAGGTTCTCACTCTATTTATTTTTCTAAAATTTTCAGTATTTAAATTTTATTTCTTTCACTGTTTTTCTATCCGAGATTTAATTTGAAGATTCTGTATTCTAGTTTCAAAACTATGGTTAATTGCTACGTTTTTTGTTTGAGGAATCCTGCGGCACCTCGTGGGCGATTTGCGAGTTCTCTGGATTTAGGGTTAGAGGGAGTTGTGTTGTGCAGGAGTAAGAGGTTAATGAAGAACTGCTTTGTCCCTCAAGAACAATTCAATCATACTTATAAAGAAGGAGGTCCTTAGCTTCTCCGTTGAAGGATCACAGATCAAAATCAGGGCTATTGTGGAAAGAGGAGCTGGAATCTGCTGCTGTGGCTACCAGTCGCCTCTTCTCCGGAAAACATTCATTTTCAATTTCCAGTAATATCTCAGGCTTTATTATTGTTATTATGAAAATCCTATTTGATGGCAGCACACAGTTTGTTCACTTTTGAAAATCATAGGTATTTATTGTTGCTTACCTTCTTTGATTCTTAGCCATGTTTCTTTATTAAAATTGAGATAAGTGTAATAATCAGGTCGGCCGAAAAGATTATTTGTATTTGTGAATCCATATGGAGGAAAGAAATCTGCCTCTAAGATTTTTCATGATGGAGGATATTTATTCCAAATACCTGCCTGCAGAAAAGAAACGAATTTGGGTTCTTTCTTCTTCCTCTTCTTATTTGGTCATTCTGTGATTATAAAAAAGATTTCAAGTTTTTATACGGAGTATTTTGCAATTGTGTCCAGCTTTATATATGCAGAAGATAAATCATTATAGTTATTTTTGCAAGTACATAGTAATACTAGTTGCCTACTTTATGGAGATTCATCTCCAATGAAAAATGTGTCGCATATTCCCTAGGAAAAAAACTCAACTTGTCTCTTCATTTTTCTTAATTAATGGGATGGCTTCTCAATTGTGACAGTGGTATTTCTTACTCTCTTCATCCCTAAATGTTTGCCACACTTTCTTACTCTCTTCATCCCTGAGGTAAAATATCAATTTTTTTAATTCATTTTATTTACATATTAGTATAGAAATAAAAAATAAAATTTACATATTAAAAAATTACATGAAAAATTCTTCAAAATAAGAGATGTCAAGAATATTTTATTTTATCAAATAACCAATGAAAATGTAGTAAAGAACAGGAAGAAACTGGAAAAAACTGGAAGGAACTGGAAGAAATTGGAAGTTAAGAGTTCAAGCCTTAAAGAACAGGCTCTTAGTATTGTACACTTATATTTGTGAAATTAATTTTTAAACATTTTTAACAAGATAAATTTAATAAAATTATTTTTATACTAATATACATTATAAATTTTGTTTAATGAAAACTAAATTTTATTCACTGACTCCAAAAATTCAAATTAGACAAATTATTCACGGACTCGCATATTTTTAAATTCTGACATCTAAAAAATAAAATGTTGTTTATTTTAAATTATCTAATGATATATTATGTGTTTGATAAATGTTTTCTACTATAAAATATCTCTTTTGAAAGAAAAGTTTTAGTTTTAATATTCATGAACATGTATTAAAAATTATATAAATTAAATCTTTATTTTGAGATGTAATAAAAGAGAAAATGATGAATACTTTATTGAAAACAACATCAGGCTTTCTTTTTTAAAAGATCAATAAATTTCATAATTTTTTAGACATATAACTAATTATGTATGAAACATATTTTAAAAATATATTTTAAAATAGTGTAACATATAAACTCGAAATGAATACAATCATTGAATAAAATATATTAAAATTTTTAATCTATATACTCTCTTCGTCTCAAAAAGAATATATAGTAGTTAGACTTTTTTGGCGAAACTTTGTAACACTTTGAGTACAAATTAAATACAGTTTTAAATAATTAAATGTCATAAAAACTTGATATATGAAAATAACCCCAATCCTCAATGTTGTTTTGGTTCAATAGTTTTTTAAATAATATTTACATTGGTTTATATATTTTAAAATCAATTTATATGATTAGTTCAAGTTAATAACTTAGGCTCCATTCCGTTTAATTTATTTTTACTGATCTGATCTGATTTTTTTAGTTCTAATCTGATATGATCTGATTGGATCTGATTTGATCTAGTCTGATCCGAGTGGATCTGATCTGATCTGATTTGATTAGATCTGATTTGATTCAATAGTTTTTTCTACATAAATTATAATCAAACAAAAATTTCATTTTCTTTCTTCTTGTATCTTTTCAAGAAAAATCAAATTTTTTTTGAAAGAATCGTATCAAGTGAAACGGATAAAAAGTATGGAGTAATAATGATAATGATAATAATAATAATAATTCCATATAATAATAACAACAACAAGAATAATAATAATAATAATAATAATAATAATAAATCTTGATTGCATCTGATCTGACCTAGTCTGATCTGATTGGATCTGATTTGACCTGATTGGATCTGATCAGATTAGATCTGATTTAATTTGATCTAATTTTATTTTAATGAGAATAAGAAAAATGTAGAAAAATTAAGTTTAACGGAACGGCACCTTATAGGAAAAAGTCTATAAAGGTATGTAAATTCTTAATGTATCGTTGCTAAAAGATAATACATTAAGAGCATGTTCTTTAAGCTTGAACTCTTAAAATGTCAATCATGAAAGAAACAAAAGGTTTGATTATATGACATGTATGATATTTAAAACAAAATGTTTTACTCCGTAATATATAAATTACAATTATAAATATATTATTTATAATAAATACTACATAAATAAATTGAGGTGCAATATAACTACACAACCTTTTTAAAATTTAATATTTTTATATTTATGCTAACTTTATATTATAATTATTTTTTGTAAAAGTAGTTTTTTGTATTTAAAAAATAACAATATTTTTTTTATATCTTAAAGACATTCACTAAGATAACGTGATGATAATGATCATTATAATGATGATGATGATGATGATGATGATGATGATGATGATGATGATGATGATGATGATGATGATAATAATAATAATAATAATAATAATAATAATAATAATAATAATTTATAACAATAAGAATTTAAAATAAATATTTTTAAAGTTTTTTTTAGGTTTTTCAGTTTTTTCCAGTTCCTTATAGTTTTTTCCAGTTCCTTCCCGTTCCTTCCAATTTTTTCCAGTTCCTTCCAGTTTGTTCGAGTTCCTTCCAGTTCTTTCTAGTTCTTCCAGTTTCTTCTAGTTTTTTCCAGTTTCTTCTAATCCTTCCAGTTTTTTCTAGTTTCTTCCAACAACCAGATCTTTTTTTACAGTTCTAAAGAACATGCCCTAAAAGGAGAAAAAAATGTTATAAATTAAAAAAATTATGCTTCTTATGATATACTCCCTCCGTACACAAATAAATTTCTCGTTCATTATTCACATAGTCAAACTTTATTCACTTTAATGGTCTATTTTCGTCACCCATTTGATAAAATAATATAGTCATGTCGACTCTAGTTTTTAGATCTTTTGATATAGTGTTTTAATATGTAATTTTTATTTTTGAATTTTACGCTATTTTTCATATAAAATGATTTGAATATAACTTCAGTCAAACATCGTAACGCGTAACGGGAAGTGTATTTGTGGACGCAGGGAGTACTCCATATCATTTTGAGAGGGATAGTATGATATACTCCATCTGTCCGGAAATGTTCTTCTCACTCTTCTTTTTGGCCCGTCCGAAATTGTTCTTCCCATTTCCTTTTTTAGTACTCTCCGTCCCAGAGGATTTGTCCACTTTAATTTTTACACACCATCCAATACACTTCTTTAATCCATTTTATCTTGTAATTTGTAAATTAAAAAATTATAGAAATTATATATTAATAATGTATATGTTAAGACAAATCAAACAAGATCACACATGACTATACTTAGGCTTACACCTTGAGAGAATTTGATGAGTCAAAGTGCTTAGATGAACAGTTCCAAAAGTCAAAAGTGGACGAATATAGCGGGACGGAGGTAGTACTTTTTAAGAAAAATTTTCAATAATACCCTTATATTTTATTACTAATATACTTTTTTATTGCTAATTTGATATAAAAAGGAGATTTAAGAGTTTATAGTACGGAGTATGTGTGATAAAATTTAGGATGAGTATGGATAACTGGATTGATAATAAGAAACTTGGCTAGAACCACATTAAAAGATTGAATCCAATTAATTAGTTAGTTCAACTCAAGAGCTTATATACCGATTATTTTATTCAATAACTTTCGATGTGGGATGCATTCTAACAATTTGCATTGTTAAAAATTTGGCATTTTTTTACTACTTCTAAATAAGCGTGTCAAATCAACGGAAAGAATATTTTCGAACGGAAGGAGTATAGTATATTTCAACGCAGGTATTCCATCCTTCAATGAATTCGGTTTATGAACTTTGGAATTGGAAAGGAATTACTCACCAACTCATTATTCTTATGGGATACTTGACTATTCATATCCCTTTCATTATTACTCCCTCCCATTCAAATTAAAAACTTTTGCTATTTTTAATAATTAAAGTTAATTTTAATTCATTTTATTTGAAAATTAGAATAGAATTAAAAATAAAATTTACAATTTCTAACAAATAAAAAAAGTTACAAAAAAATAAAAATAAAATTAGATCATGTGGATAATAAATAGACACTTTAAATTAAGATTGACATAGTACATTCTATGACCAATATGGTACCACCTTCCAATATCAAACCTTCTATTAGAGAAAAAATTGACCAGAATAGCAAATTTAAATTAAATCTCATAATATTTCAAGTCTGAAGGTAACCATAAATACAAAAAAAGTACTCCGTAACAATCCATAGACTCATCCCACAAATTCAAAGTGTACCAGCAGCAACCTTTGATCAAAAGGATCCACTATTGCATAATTAAAAGTAAATCAAACACCTGCACCCAACATAGCATTTCAATAAAGAATGAAGAATCTTACATAAAAAATTAAAATGATAAAAAAAATGTGAGTTTCAATCTAAAATTAAAATAATAAAAAAATGTGAGTTCAAACAAAAATAAAATCTAATATCACAAATTAAAATAATAAAAATTACAACTGGCAAAAAAATCATTTGTTAGAGATACCACTAGTCAAAAATGGGACTGATGCTTTAATTTGCAATGAACATACAATTTACAATGAACCATTGGGAATCCATTCCTTTTTTGACAATAGAGTGGAAACTCATTCTTAAACTTAAACATACTCCTCACAAATTGTTGGCAACATAAAATTTTCCATTTGCAATGAAGTTTTAAAATAGTATCCTAATGAAGGCATAGCTTCAAATTCCACATCTCATCATCACATCATCATAATATATAGATATATCAAAAAAGAAAAAAAATTGATGAGTATTAACAGAGTGCAGAGTGAGTTTGAGCCCTGGAGAAGAAGGGTACGACAAAAGAAAACAAACAAACCCTAGATTTACAGATTTCTCTCTAACAAAAATCGTAATAATTAACCATAGTTTTGAAATTAAAATAAAGAATATACTAATGAAATCTTGGATAGAAAATCAGTGAAATTAAATAAATAAAATTTAAATCCCGAAAGCTTTAGGAAAACATAAATAGAGTGAGAACCTTAGATGATGAAGTCTAATCTTCTTATAGAAGAAGAGAATCTTTGAGAATCGCCGGAGATATGCCTAGAAAATTTCGTCGGAGATAGAGATATGCGGGAGATTGAGGGAGAGAGTAACGAGCGTTGAGGGAGAGAGAGTTGACGATGATGGAGATGTGCCTTGAACGAGAGAGATAGAGATATGCGATTGAGGGAGAGAGTGGAAGATGGTGATAGGAGAAACGGCGCTGTGGACGTATTGACAGAAGAAAGGGTTGGGAAAAAGTTTTTTTATTTGCAAAGGAGTCCTTGGGACTAAGTAGCAAAAATACATCAACTTTGACTTCATTTAAATGAGGTGGCAAAAAGAGCCACATGTCTATTTATTATTGGACCAAGTAGAGGGTGTTTCAAAACACTCTATTTTGAAAGTGCACCCAAGGAAACGCCTTTCCTATGGGAAAATGACAGGAGTACACCAGTGTACCCCAAATATCCCACACCCATAAAAAAAGGCAAGAAAAATTCAAAAATAAATAAAAAATAAAAATAAAATGAATGGTAAAAAGGGGATGGTGTACATTTGGGGTACACCTTTGGTGTACCCCTAGCATATTCCTTTCCTATGAGGTGCAATTGAAAGGGGTGGGATATGTATGAGTCGGAGACATGGTGGGGTTTATCAAGGAGATAGGGGATAGAAACCGTCAATTTTACGAACGGACATCTGAGCGCTCCTGGGTCATCTCATGACATTACCGGACTATGTCATGGGAACCTCCCTCTTTTAGGGTAAGAAATAATTTTAAATGATTTTTCTTTGTTCTCAAAAGAAAATTCAATTTGTACTTCGTATATACTCTATACTGTTTTGTCTTTCACTTAAGAAGTATTTTTTGTACTGAATATTTATCCATTTTTTACTTTTTCGATCAAAATTAAGAAATTATGACCACAAATTATATAAAACTAGTGTTATATATTGATATAAAATTTATTTATTGGATTTATTTTATAAAATTATTCTTGAAATATTATTTTATCTAATTAAATAACAATATATATTTTATTTAATTATATATCATTCGATAAAATGATTGACAGCAAAAAGTCAGAATTGGACAAAAACTCATGTACGAAAGTAGTACTTCGTGCATTTTTCTTGTTTGCAATGCCTAAAAACTATGGAGTAATTTTTTTTCTTTTTTTGGCTAACGGAGTACTATTTTAATGAATAAACATGATGTAAAAATCTTTTTTTGAAGGGATATGTAAAATTTATAAATTAATTCAATTTGTAACAAAAAATTATGCTCCAAATTTAAGTTGCATGTTTACTAATTGTTCTTTGCTTTCATTTCCTAGTCACAAATCACACCAAATTCATGGGCTTGCTTAAAGGATTTAAGAATAGTTCAAGTCAAGAAACTCATCAATCCATCAACACTAACAATACCCAAGTATCAAGCAACTTCATTAATCAATTCCACTTATTTAGCCTAAATAAGTGCATCTAGAGGTAGATATTCAATTGAAAACTTCAAAATATCTTCATTCTCTAACATAATAAAATAAAAAGACGTTCAAATCATCATATGTTTTTTTTGTTACTCTGTTTGAAAACTTGAATCACAAAAATCATACTTTTGTTTGTGTTATCTCCATTATTTTACACAAAGCGTGAAAAAGTTTGCACTCTATTCATATATGTTCCAACAAATAACAAGACAACTTGTCTTCAGTCATATATGTTCCAATTCATCTGGCGTTATTGGTTGCTTAAAGGGAACGATCGACTTCTTCTCCACATCTCGTGATAAAGCTTTCCTCATATCTATGGTGTAGGAAAAAAAAGACAAAGATATCATCTTTAATTAAGATAGGACCATTTAAGGGACTCCAAACATTCTCATACACATCCACAAACACTCGTTAGTATCAATATTTGTGAGAAAGTGAGTGTATTTGTCCACTTTTCCAGTCTCATTCTAGTTGTACACGTATATATTAATGGAAAATCTTTTGGGCTAACTTTGATTAGCTAGTTTGCCCTCACATCATTCACTTCCACAAAAAGGTATGAGTAATTTTTTATAAGATCTCTTTCCTCATTGGTACCAGCTAAGTATCAACAAAAAAAATGGACAAACACATAAAGTGTATAGGTACATCAACAGGGGGGATTTATTCAACTCACCAAGCCCATCTTCTTTTCCGGAGTAGTATCGTGCGACTCGCCTGTATATTATGTAGCCGAGCTGGAAAGCAGAAAATTATAATTTTAATGAATAAACACGCACAAATGTTCTTAAATTTTTTTAAACTAAGTTTATCATTATAATATTTGTTTGCTTCTATATTTTGGAAAATTGCTTGAAACTCCATCTTCCTTTGTTCAAAGTGAGATCAATGATGTTAGAATAAACCATACCTTCTCATACAACTTTATGGCTGGTACATTGGATGATCTCACAAAGAGGTCAACAAAGTAAGCTTCGTAACTATAATATGAAAGAGTTTCCATTAGTGCCAACAGGGGTAATACCTTATCAATGAAATGACATTATAAATCCACCCCTAAGATGCAGACAACATGATATAATGGATGGCTAGAGATGTGAAAATAAAAATGCACAACAACACTTTCTGAAAAAATGAGAGCTCGAGTAAATTTATCGAGCACGAGAATCCTGCTAAGGATTCGATTCCCTTTTATGTGTCTCTCTCGTAACAGAAAGTATAATGCATGTGAAAACGGCACATGTTATTAGAGTAAGATCATGTTTTTTTCAACTTATTTTTATTACTTATTGTTATTAGAATCATATCATACCAGATCAAAAACAGTTTTAAATATAACTATATAACTACAATCAGACCAGACCTTAATACTTCGTATGTAACAAGAAGTCGGTTAGAACAAAACATGAGTTTGGGATTGAGAGAGGGAGGGAGTACTTGACTTTAAAGCAATGAACATGGATAGAAGTGAGGATAAGAGTTGCATACATTTTATCACTCACATCTTCAAGTAAATTCATCAGTTTCCTCGCCAATTGTTGTCTTCTATACTCAGGTGATACAGTAAGAGTGGTAACATGGCCATGCCAAGATTCACCTTCCCCTTCAACTTTTCCAATGACTACAAACATAAACATAAAACACACTAATATTTTCGTCAAATTTTTGCCCCACCACACCCAATGTTTGAGCGCAACTAACCAGGAACCATCCCAAATTCCCAATTGAGTTCTTGCGCCATTTACCTTTGAACTCTAAAAAAAATTGAGTGAGTTCCTCCTAAACTTTAAAAATTGCACCAATAGCCCTTGAACATTTTAAAAGGTTGCATCAAAGATCCTTCCATGCCAGATTTGGGAGTATGTCAATCACACGTTCATTAATATACCAATTGGAGCTTGATGAAGATGCTGTGGATTGACGAAGGGGTTGATCCATTGGTGCAGCGTCTTAAAATGTTCAGAGACCATTGGTGCAATTTTTAAAGTTCAGATGAAATACACTTATTTTTTGGAAAGTTCAAAAGTAATCGATGCAAAAAAAAAAACCATCCCAATTTCTTAACTTTAGCTTGATGTGATTGAGATGATACTTAGCATATATCTTCTTCAATTCACATGAAGATATAGGAGTGAAAACAGAAATGGAGGGAGGATCGAACTCACTGTAACCCATGATTTGGTTCCCAGGAGCTTCGGCTACATGGAAAAAATCAGGCCACCTAACCAGGTAAGTCATGTAGAACGACATTTTGTACTGCATCCATCATTTCAAACTCATCAACATTCAATTCCCAGATTAATTATTTTCTGAAACAGATAGAGATGAATGGAGATCGAGTACCGACGGTTGCGGTGAGATGATCTAGATTCACCGGCGTTAATCGGAGAAGATCGTTGCAGCGAAATCTTCGGATTGTCGTCATCCTTAATTCCCTTCTCTCAACAACTTTCTTCTTCTTCTTCTAGATTCTTCGCCCAAACCTTCGAATGGAAGGCCGCCGTTCCAGTTTGAATCTAATTCCGGACATGTAAAAAAGTTAAATGCCCCAACATTTCCCGCAATTTCCTCTAAAAAAACCCCCATAATAACGTATAAATTCTTCCTCCGTAATTATAGACACCTTTGTTTTTTACATGTGACCATACAAGACTATTACCTAAGAATTTAGGAGTCACATCATTTTATAAAATATACTTCCAGTTTTCTTAAAATATTTGGAAATTAACTTCGGGTTTCGGATGAACTTTCGGTCTATCCCCTGTCATACTCACTTGTTTCATTATCTTTTAATAATAATAATAATAATAATAATAATAATAATAATAATAATAATAATAATAATAATAATAATAATAATAATAATTCATGGAATAGCCTTTTTACGTGTTGCTAGTTTGGGTTGATCTTAATTTTTTTTGGATATAAGTAATGTTGTCTAGAGTCTAGACAAATCCATTTCATAATTCAGCCTTTTGAACTTTTGAAGCAAATTTCATTTTGAAATGTTAGAAGATAAATTTACCTAAATAGAACTAAAACATAATGACTTTCCCAATATAGGACCATATGACTTTACCTTGGTCATTATCAAGTAGTCATTATTCAACTAAATGTCCATCATTACTGGACATTATTCCTCATACTAGGTCATTATTAAGTCCTATTTATAGAATAAAAAAGTTTAAGTCCTACATTAGAAAAGTCATTATGTTTTTAGTCATATTTAGTGCAAATTTCACATGTTAGAACCTTTACTAACAAAACTTGATGGGATGAATCATTGTATTATTGGATAGGTATTAGTTTATTTTAACTATGTAACGAAAACATGTTCCTCTATGGATTGTCACTACTGGTAAACATGCCTAGAGAAATGCATGTTGCTCAGCTTCTTAATTTCATGTAACTGAATTGATGCGCTCGAACCCGGCAGAAGGCGTGTCGTTCGTCTTTCCCGAGATTCTTCTGTAAGAACAGGCGCAGGAATGGGGTGGTTTAGAGACTCACTAGTCTATAACTTTAGCACTTCCTCGAGATATGCCGAGGTAACCCTAAATGTGTAGTTTTATAATTTGCATGTTATCGAAACTCTCATGATTTTTTTGATTTCATGTACTCGGGTAACTGAATGTCGGTGTAATTTTACAACTTGCACGTTATGCATTTTTAATGACTATTTAATAAAATATAATATTCTTATTACATGTTATTTTAAAAAAATTTTAATCTATTTTTTATATGTGTAAATTTATTTTTTATTTATCTACCAAAACACTTTTGTATTATTTGAACGGAGAGAGACTGCCATCTCATATCTCGCCTGAGCTCCTATCGAGTTTTACAGCGGCGCCGGAGAGACGTCGGAGGGAGAAACAGCTATGGATATTCTCAAACAAGAGCTGGAGAAGAGGCGGAACAGCCTACGGGAGGACGTCGGAGGCAAAAAGTTCTTCAAACGCTCCGAGATCGAGCAGAAACGCCTCCAGCGGCTACACGAGGAAGAGAAACGCGAAGCCGAATCCAAAGCTCTCCGTAAGAAGCAATCGGAGCAGGCAAACAGATCCGGCGCTGACGCTTCTTCCGATCCCAACTCCAATCCTAATCACCTCGGTAAATCCAACGCCGAATCCAATGCATCTTCTTCCAAACCCCAAACCCTAACCGACGAACAAAAGATCGATTCGCTCCATCTTCCGAGGCAAGAAGTTATCCGCAGACTCCGCTTCCTGAAACAGCCCGTCACACTGTTCGGAGAGGATGATGAGGCCAGGCTGGATAGGTTGAAATATGTGCTGAAAGCAGGGCTTTTTGAAGTCGATGACAGTGATATGACGGAGGGGCAGACTAATGATTTCCTGCGTGATATTGTGGAGTTGAAGAAACGGCAGAAGTCTGGGATTTTGAGCGAAAGGAAACGGAAGGCTACTGAGGATGGAGAGGATAGAGACGGGGGAGGCGGCGAAGATGATTTGAGCGGGGACGGAGGCTCGTCGGGAGTGGATTACGACAAGGATTTGAAGAGGCTGAAGACCAAATTTGGGGACTTGTGTGATGAGGACAAGATTTTGGTGTTCTTTAAGAAGCTGTTGAACGAGTGGAATCAGGAGCTTGATGAGATGACTGAGGCTGAGAAGAGAACTGCCAAAGGGAAATCCATGGTTGCCACATTCAAACAGTGTGCTAGGTACTTGAATCCTCTGTTCAAGTTTTGCAGGAAGAAGGTTAGCATACACTATCCTCTTGAGGTTTATAATTATTCATGTCTAGTTTAAGTGGAGTAAAATTTTGAGCAAACATCATCAAGCACACACAGGTGCTTTAGTATAAAGACTAGACATTTGAACATTCCATTAGTGTTGTCAAAGAATCCAAGCTTTTTGGTTTTGTCTGTAGAGACGTGGTTTTTAAAAATAGTACTCTCTCCATCCCATAATAATCTTCACTTTACGCGAAATGAAGTGAAATTGTAAGTTTTTTTCAATTCTTTTTATTTAAAGATTGGTATCTAAATAAAAATATAAAACTTACGTCAAAAGTATCTACAAAATAAATGATGACAAGAATATTTTATTTTATCAAATAATCAATAAAAACGAACAAATAAATAAAAGTTCCCGTGGAATAGTGAAGGAAGATGATTCTAGGACAGGGGAGTATGATATTATCAAGTACGGAGTATTTAATAAGAAACTAGTGGGATTCATCATAGAATGATGCTCTTCCAGGCTATTTGTTCCTACAAGTGTGTGTGCGCGCTACATCATTTAGATTTGTTTCATGTATCATTTGGGACGGTTGAAGCTCAATCCAACAGTCCCGATGATCATTGATCAATCTCTTAATTGTGTGCTGTTAGATCTTCATCACAATATCGGATGGGTCAAGCTGTGAAAACTAACAACCAGTTGTCTTTGATAATAAACAGATCCTGATCTAGACCCCTAATGGAATGAGCAGTGAACCATATCAGATTTCATTCAAGTATTCTCAACAAGATTATATGACCATAGTGTCTATTTATATTTCTGAGCTTCTAACCCTATTGTCAGACTGGTTGGACATACATAGATTAGGAAATCTGATATAGTGAGTGAGATCAGTGGATGCTTCTTAGTTGTGATAACTTTGTAGTATTATTACTCTATTGAAAATGGAATTTAGTGATGCATGTTATATTTTATTGAATGAACATGGAGTATTGAAGTAAAGGAATCAATAGTTTCACTTTCAAGTGAAATGGCCCATGTGTGTACAAGCAGTTTGGAATCGATTAGGAGTCGTTAAGAGCCTGAAATCATTGACCTTACAATACAAACCACAATTTTTCCCTGACGGACACCTTCACAAAAAAGAAAAACATATACTTATACTTTTTATTCTTGTGTGTGTGTGTGTGTGCGTGTGTGTGTTTTCCTTGTGGGGAAAGAAGAGAGCATAGATTGTATGCCTAGAATCATATTCTGAAATGCCAGGCCACAAGATTTTCAGTTAAGTTTTTTTTGGGGGTATTATTACTACTAATGGTGATGCATTGTTGCTTATGCTGGTCCTACAACTGTGTTCACAATGTAGGTACTTCCCGATGATATTCGGCAAGCATTACTTTTGATGGTAAAGTGCTGCATGGAGAGAGATTATCTAGCCGCCATGGATCATTACATCAGAATGGCCATTGGCAATGCTCCTTGGCCCATTGGTGTTACTATGGTTGGTATCCACGAACGTTCGGCCCGCGAGAAAATTTACACCAACAGTGTTGCACACATCATGAACGACGAGACGACCCGAAAGTATCTGCAGTCGGTCAAGAGATTGATGACATTCTGCCAACGCCGCTACCCCACCGCCCCATCAAAGGCCGTGGAGTTCAACAGCTTGGCCAATGGCAGTGATTTGCAGTCATTACTCGCAGAAGAAAGGTCTTCATCCTCAGACGAAAAGCAGCTTCGCCTATTGCCTGCCTGATGAATTGTATGTATCATTTTCGTTACGTTGTAGAAACACTGCACGAACAAAAACGGTTCCTTTGGAATATTTTTTTTGAATTTGAAGGATATGGTGGCCTGTTTGGTGCCCATAACCAGTGTATAAGTATCTTTTACTGATTTTGTTTGGGTTGCCCAATGTGAAACTCAATACTGGTTTTGATTTTTGAATTTTTTGGCTTCTTTAGGATTTTTCTTCCTTGCTAACCATAACCCTAGTTTTTTGTTTTTTTTGTCTTTGTTTTTAACTTTTGGCTATGCAGCTCAAATGCTCTAATTCTATAAGCTCTTAAGAGAATTGTTTCACTGCCACTTCTAGTACACTTCATTTGTCCCTAGTAGCTTTCTGTCTTATAGTTTATACTCCATTTGTGAATTTAATTGTCAACCCCCCCCCCCTCTACCTCTATAATTAGTTGCCCGCCGTTCATGTGAGTTTGGAAACAATGATTTTGGTTGTTTTGTTTTGGCTGATCCGCCGGCAACCTTGGGTCTAATTTGGGAACATTTCCAATCAGCGATAACATTTTCAATAATCTTTCAGTGGTGCAGTTTAAAAAGGTTAGAAGTAAACATGTGTTAGTTATCTTTTCAAAATGTTAAAGTTGAACAACGAATTTCTCGCAAAACATGCACTTTATTTGTCGGTTACTTTGCTCTATTTCAAGTTCTTGCACATATCTATTGTCTTTGCATTCTTGTGTGCCTCTTGTATACTTGGTGCACTTCAGAAAGAGAAAAAAATTGTAATTTCTCTTTACATGATGCAAAATGGAATTGATGCATTGCTTCAGAATGGAGTAATTAAAATTGAACATTTGAACTCTATAGTGAGAACTTTGGACGGGTTCAAATTGCAAAATGAATACACACGTTCGTGCATGTTTCATATATATATATATATATATATATATATATATATATATATATATATATATATATATATATATATATATATATATATATATATATATATATAGGGGAGGGATCAAGTGAGAATGAGTTGTTGTGAGAGAAATGAGAATGATCTAGATCCATTAGATTTACTGCATCGTGCGGTCTCCAATATGCAACATAAATTATTTTATAAAAGGAAAGGGGAATTGTTATTGGGTATGTTAAATGAGACAGACACGTGGAAGGGCATTTCTGGAAATGGAGAAGTACATTAATAAGCGTAAAAAAGGTGCAGATCTTTAATATCCCGCCACTTACGCATTTTGCCTTGAATAGAAGTCTTTTTGCTTTCTTCCATAACCCTTTTCTTCCGCCGGCGCTGCATTCTTCAGAGCTTCGTTCAGAGTGAAATTGGTAAGTGAGAGAAAGTTGCAGTGCACGCCTTAAGAAGAAGGAGACCTCGTGAAGGAGGTGGCTGTTAGAAATTGCATTCTAAGGCATGACTACTGCGGGGAAATCAGCGATGGTGGTTGAAGGTATGCGTTTTTAATTTCGAAAGGGTCTATTTGATTTGGGGTTTTGGTTGTATTGCATGCCGTTGATTAATGCATCTGTAGTTTTAATTTCG